TTTAAGAGATGGGGTATCTTGCTATGTTCCCCAGGCTGGACTCAAATTCCTGGGCTCAAGCTATGCATGATAGCTTGAGCTATCAACCTCAACCTCCCAAGTAGCTGGGACTACAGGCACCTGCTACTGTACCTGGCTAGAATTTTTTTAAACTGGAAAGCATACACGTACAATGAAAAAGATCTGGAAGGATACACATCAAGGTGCTGCTGGCAGTTCTCTCTGGGTAGGATTGTGGTATATTCTTCCCACCTGTGTGCTTTTTCTGTAATAGTCAGGGATGAGTTTTTATTAAAATAGCAATAACAACAACAATAATAACAACAAAAAAGAAAGCTTTTTAGAGAAGGAAAAGAAAGAGGATTCAGCAGCAAAACTGGAATCTGCAGACAAGTGAAGGCAAAGCAAAGCTAGCCAGAAACTGGGAAGAGTAGGGGAGGCTGCACGGAACATACCTGCCTGCAGTAGACATCTAGATAAAGAGAAACCAAAACCAGAAGTACTGGAAATCCTTCTTCCCACAAAGTGCATGTGGTCTGCAACAGCAGTGACCTGAGGATTCCTGTCTCTCCTGCCTGGACCCAACTCTGAGGCTCCCTCACTGCAGATGATGAGGCTGGGAAGGAGGCTCCACAGCACAGCCCCAGTGGTGTCTACTTCCATAGAATGCTCTCCTCCCCATTCCCCCTGTTCCCTAGATGATCCTGGAAACAGGATAGGATGTGCTACTCCCAGGATAGAGAGGAGAAAATAGGCTCAGGATTATTCAGCTCCAAAGTGTTAGCTGGTCTGATTCCTAGTTCTGATCTGGAAGATCTCCTTGTAGTTTGTTGGCATGAAGTACCTTCTAACTCAAGGCCTGGGTCCAGGGAGGCCTCTGACCACAGAGACCAATGCTTTCCCTTGTGTGTGACCCTAGTGGGTGCCTGCACCCCTGCACTTACAGTAGAGTGAGGTCACAGGTCTGTCTCAAGAGGCAGCGATGGCAGAGAACCCCAGGCTCCATCTAAAGTCAAGGGTACAAGGAAAAAAGCAGGCCCACATCAGTGGGTGGGTTCAAGTGTGTAAGCATAGATAATCATCTTCTACTTCTTCTCTAAATACTGCAAAATCTAACCTTCATTCCCTTCTTCTAACATCTTTGCATCATAGCCTTATCTTCTGCATTATACTACTTTAAAAATATTACCTCCCTAGTGTGCAGAGCAGAGTGGGCTGCAGAGAAAGCTACCCAGGAGAGGATCACAGGCTCCACAGAAGGCCTACATAACAGGGAGGAGACTCTCAGCCTGAAGATCATGCTGACCCAGCCAGGGAAAGTAGGAGGGCCTACTCACTCATGCAGTGAGGGAACAGGCTCCATGTGTCTGGGAGGAAGTCACCCGACAGGGAAGAGAAGCACCCACATGGTGCTTCCTCCATCCCAAGATGACGACATGCCCTGTGTCTAGCGGACAGCTGGATGTCTGTCTACACTGTCTGGTTGTTGGGATTTGGTGACTACATTGCACAGGCTTCCAGGAACATGCTTTCAATGGAAAATGCCAACTCTAGCCACATGCACTCCTCAGTTACTGATTCACAGGGCGTCCTTATGTCCAAACTGGGCCTAGAAGCTGTAGAATGTAATAAACACTGGCTCTGGAGTCAGCACTGCCTGGGCTTGAATCCTGCCTTCTGTCCCATCTGTCACGATGTGACCTCAACAAATTACTTCACCTCTCTATGCCCTGGTTTCCTCAGCTATCATATGCATTAAATGGGATGATGCCAATAAAATGCTTAGCATAGGGTATGACCCAAAGGGAGAGCTCAAGAAACACTGGCTAAGAATAATTCATCAGGATGTCTGCATACACACACCCATAATGCGGACAGAACACAATCACTATGACAGCAACAGGACCAAGGAACACCAGAATGATGGATGTGTTCCTAGCTGCATCTGCTGCACTCTCCCACAGATGAGTCTCATCATCATAGAGTGAAAGGGGCAAAGGGAGAAAACACAGACATTGAAAGTTGGGAAAAGACAGGCCAGAAGAGCCTGGGAGCCCTATTAAAGGTGGGGATTCACATTAGAGAAATGCACATCAAAACTACCAAGTGATACCATCTCACACCAGTCAGGATGGCTATTATTAAAATGTCAAAAAACAACAGATGCCGGCAAGGTTGCAGAGAAAAGGGAATGCTTATATACTGCGAGTGGGAATGTAAATTAATTCAGCTACTGTGGAAAACAGTCTTGAGATTTCTCAAAGAACTAAAAATAGAACCACCATTTGACCCAGCAACCCCATTACTGGGTATATACCCAAAGGAGAATAAATTGTTCTACCAAAAGACACATGCACACATACGTTCATTAAGCACTATTCACAATAGCAAAGACATGCAATCAATCTAGGTGTCCATCCACAATGGAGTGGATAAAGAAAATGTGGTACATACACACCATGGAATACTATGCAGCCATAAAAAAAGAACAAAATCATGTCCTTTGCAGGAACATGTACACAGCTGGAGGCCATTATCCTAAGTTAATTAACACAGAAGCAGAACACCAAATATCATGTTTTCACTTGTAAGTGGGAACTAAACCCCAGGTGCCCATGGACATAAACATGGGAACAACAGACACTGGGGACTCCAAAAGGAGTAGGGGCAAGGGCTGATAAATTTCCTATTGGGTACTATGTTCACCATCTAAGTAATGGGATCAACAGAAGCCAAAACTCAGCATCACACAATATACAAATGTAACAAACCTGTACAAGTACCTCTTGAATCTAGAATGTAATTTTAAATTTTAAAAAAGGTGGGGATTCAGTATACTCCCCAAACCTCAGACAACCATACCAGCCAATTAGGGCGGGATATGTGCTAGGTGTGTACACACATGTATGCACACACTATGTGGAAGGAGAGGGCTGGTAAGAAGAGATGCAGAAGAAGGAGACAGAGAATTTCTAACATCTAAGCACCTTCCCTTTGCCACTGCACTAGCAAATATTTGTGAAAACAATCTGCAGAGAAAATGTTTGCCTTAGCAAAGAGCTTGGCTCCTGCTAAAGCAAAGCCTTAGCACATCCATCCATCTAGAAAGTGACCTCTTCAAAGGCTTCACTGGGAACCCTCCCCAGGGCTCCCTAAGCGAAGGTGGAAAGGCAGTGGAGAATATGCAGGGAAAAGAGAGCACAGGAACAGCAGAGAGGCAGAAGGGTCAAGGTTCAGAACCAGAAAGAATCAGCAGGACTCAGAATTGAGGCTACTGGGTAATGTCCTTCACAAAAATCATCATACAAAGACTATCTTTACAAGTCTTCAGAAAGAAGACTTGCTTGTGCCTTCAGAAACAGGCTGCAGGGAGACATAAGAGTCTCTGCAGGCTCCTGGGGTCAGGGACTTAATCAGAGAGAAAAAGCATGCCAAGGAACAGAGCAAATGCTTGTTGCTTTGTTGACCAAGAGGCCAGCACAGCACAGGTAGCTAGCTGGCAGGTGGGCCGCCAGTAGGTCCTCAGCTAATTTCCAGACACTGGCTGAACAGGAGACACTGAACAGAATAGCAGCCATGACAGTGCTTGAGCAGGGGGAAGAAGGAGGTGCTTTATTGCAAGGGAAGAAGGTGGCCATGACTGAATTTATCAATTTAAATGATCAGACCTATTTCCTAGTCATTCATCATCTTTCCTCAGGCTGGAACAAGTGGCAATGAAGATTTCTTTCCAGCTAGCTAAATAAACATGGTGGACTGAATATAAATGTTCATTTCTACTCCCTCCCAAAACCCCATTAAAATAATAGAATGACAAGCTCTAGCACAGAGAACATCTCCAAGAAAAATAAGTGAACCAACAGATTATCTGATGCATTGAGGACTGTTCTAACAAGAAGTAGTGGTAGAACCATACACTATGCAAGAGAAAAAGACAATTACTAACTGCCCTTCTGATTAAAGTTTTCTGATTTAAAAAACACTATAATTGTAATAGATGACTTAGTTCAGTTGTGGAAATTATATTTGGACAATAAAGACGGGGATGGCTGCATGTGTATAAGGGGAAAGTCTGCGAAAGCTCAATCTTATTCTTCTGGAGAAGTCAACAAATAATATCTAAAACTAATAAATCAAAGAATAGCAGTTATACATATTATTTTGATAAATGGAGGGGAGTAGTAGATGAAGTAGCTTTTAGCTGGATCAGAACCAGGATTTTAATTCCTAAAGGATTGAAAGTGAGTGGCTCTGGAGCACAAGACTTGGTGTGGAAAGGTGGAGCAGGGCACACCTCATCATTACAAGCCCTGCAATAGTACGTGACTTTTTTTTTTTTTCTTTTAAGACACAGTCTCGTTCTGTCGCCCAGGCTGGAGTGCAGTGGCACAGTCTCGGCTCACTGCAAGCTCCGCCTCCCAGGTTCACGTCATTCTCCTGCCTCAGCCTCCCAAGTAGCTGGGACTACAGGTGCCCGCCACCACGCCCAGCTAATTTTTTTTTTTTTGTATTTTTAATAGAGACGGGGGTTTACCATGTTAGCCAGGATGGTCTCGATCTCCTGACCTTGTGATCCGCCTGTCTTGGCCTCCCAAAGTGCTGGGATTACAGGCGTGAGCCACCGCGCCCAGCCAGTACGTGACTTTTAAAAGAATGTTCATGGAACACTCAGAAAAAAACAAAAGTTTTCTTAATAATAACAAGACCTAGCTCAAGACCTAGCTCAGTTTGCTCTCCCCACCGCCCAAGTCTTCTTGGATCTCCTTCCTCTACTCTAGTGAAAATTACTGTCTGTACCATCCCCTTGGCAATCAATCATTTTCCACTTGGCAATGAGCTAAACTCTCCTATCATTAATTATCTTTCCACCTGTATCCCTACCTAAATCATAGCTGCTTCACAGCAGAGACCACTTCTCATAATCTTTGAGGAGTCTGCAGAAGACCAGGTGATTAGATCCACAAACTCGGAGGAGGTGCAGCAGTCCGGCTCCCCCTTACCTGCGTAGGCATTGGCCTGCTGCAGAAGGTCAGTGCAGGTGTGCACATCTGCAAACGCACGGATGCCCAGGCAATTGGTGGGATGCAACTGAGACTGCAGGAAGTCACAGCAGTTCTGCCGAACATCCATTAGCTGCAGCAAGCTGGCTGCCGGAAGCAGCACCTGCAAGAGAAAGTGACATTCTCAGACATTGGCTCCTACTGACAGGGACTCATCCCCTTTTTCCTATCATATCACTTGCATGCTCAAGATCTTTTCATGGCTCTCCACTGCCTACCCAATAAGTCCAAACTTCCTAGCCTGCTTTCCAGCCTTATTTCCCACTACTCTGCACTTCATGGACCCTAAACACCAGCAGATTCTCTGTATCCCTACAGCCATGCTTCCCAGTCTTTAATTCCCTGGGGATCTCATTAAAATACAGATTCTAACTCATTAGGTCTAGGATGGGATCTGAGAGCCTGCATTTCTAATAAGAACCCAAGTGATACTTGCAGTTGCTGGTCCACAAACCACACTCTGAGTAACAAAACTCTACACACACACACACACACACACACAATGGTTCTCATGCTGGGCTGCAAACTGGAATTACCTTAAGAGTTTTAAAACTACTGATGCCTGGGTCTTGCCCTAAAAGAATCTAACTTAATAGGTATAGAGTGTGGCCTGGACATTAAGATGGTTTTTGAAGCTCCCCAGGTGCTTCTAATGTACAGCCACATTTGAGAGCCACTGCCCCACAACCTTCAGTGTACTGTCCTCATTCAGAAAGGTACTTAATGAATTACTAACTACTGAACATCTATGTGCCAGGCACTAGTTTAGGCTCTGGGATTCAGGGGTAAGCAAGAGAAACCAGATCCTATTCTCCTGGAGCTTAGAGTCTACTGGAACAAGATGCATCCCAAATCCCTCAGGACTCAAGCAACGACACTTCATTCTCCCATCGAACAGATACAAAGCAAAGAACATCTTTGGGTACATTCTTAGAGAAAGGATGGCTAAGTTTCCATTTAAAAGGTCACAGGACACATGACTACTTATACTATATGCTGGAAGACAGAAATAGTTCTTGCTCAGGTATATGTGCATGTGTTTTTCCTAAGGGTCAGGGAAGACTGGCTTGAGCAGGCCTGCTGGGTGCTCAGACAGCCAACCTCTGTCAAGTTTCCCTAGGACTTTCCCTCAGCTGCTGAAGCCTGCCTCTAGGTCAAACATACAGGACAAAAGGCCAAAGTCCTGTCCCACTTCAGCTCTGCTACCCTGACCTTCACCTATGGAAGCAGCAGATAGTCTGAGAATTATTTTCCAAAAAGAAATTTATTTAAAAAACACACTGCAGAAGAGCTTGATTTAAGGCTGCTTATCTTAGGGACCCCGGCATCCACTTCACCCCAGAATAATCCCCTTGCCCCAGTCCGTTGCTCTTAGCTGCTGCCCTGGCTCTGAGACAGAGTGACTGAGCCAGCTACACTCTAGCTGTTCCCATCCACAAGGGCTTGCCCAGGAAGATATGGGCTGCAGATGTATTTGTTTTCTTGATTCAGGACACTTAAAAAAGACTTCTTTTTTTTTTAAGTGATTTAAATTCTGGACTCTGACTTTCTCCCAAGACAGGTCTGAGTCCTCAGCTCTGACTCTCATCACTTTTATGTACTCAGGCCAAAAACTCTGCCCCACTGCCCATTTGGGGGCTTTGTCCCTCCACTGGGGTTACCAACAGTCCTAGTTTTTCCAGGACTGGGGAGTTTCCCAGGACTTTCAGGGCTAAAAGTGGGACAGTCGGTCACCCTTCATTATCCCTGCCCACAGACAATAACCACCAAGAGCCTCCACTATCAGTGCTCGAACTCCTGAGCCAAATGCCTACGCTCAACAAGGAAAGCTGCTCCTACCCACAGGCTTACACTTCTCCCTCATGACAGCTGAGTTCTAGAAAACGTGCTCCTTTTCCTTTCCTCCACCCTCTCTTCCACTATCCTATATCCCCAGCAGGAAAACAGTAAATTAACACCATGTCTGTGATATTTTCTGAACCACTAATACATTCCTGAGCAAGAAAAAGATAAAATCACCCTCTTCTGAAAGTTTTGGACTATAAATGAACACAGGTAGGATCCAAATCTAATCTAACCACCTGAACTCTCTCCCAACTAAGCAGCCACCATCCCCACTAAGCAGCCACCATCCCCACTGAGCAGACATAAACTGGGAAACTCAATTAACCTGTGAGCTTGCTCAGCCTGGCCGAACAGATTCCAGGACCAGATTAGTCTCTGCCTGCTAGTCAAATGGAGATCCATTAACCATTCTTGCTGAATGCACACCAGGAATAAAAAGTTCTGCCCCCAGTCTCCAAATGACCTCCATGATGCCCCCTGGCCAGTATCAGCTAGAGTTAAGACTGGAGTTAAGGCCATAGGTTGACCAATCATGCTGATTTACCTGGGACTGCGCCATTTTTACCGCTGAAAGTCCCCATTCCAGAAGGCCTCTCACTTCTGGGCAAACTAGGCTAGGTGTTCATCCTAGGGAGAAGTAACCTCTAACCAGTGACCCTAAGAAGCCCCGGAGGGAGAAGAAGCCATCAAATGTTGGCCAGCACATACCCTACTCAGAGGTGTGGTAAACTCCAAAAGGGCCAGATGTGAGAAGAGGCAGGAATTCAACAGCAACCCTCTCCCCATCACCCACCACCCAAGAGAATTTCTGAGAGTCCAATCTGCCCCCAGACTGCATTCCAGTGAGCTCCCCCACCCTATACACATATACAAGATCATGCCAGTGACACACAGTCCCTTCCCCCTTCCCCTCTTCCAAGGAGACAGCAGCACAGTGTGGTGCTTAAATTCTCAAGCTCATGACAACCAGCCAGAGAAATGAAATAATAAATATTTCCTGAATATACTCCTTAGGTTACAATTTCAATTTTTAAAACCTCCCTGGATAGAGCTATCCACATAGCTTTCAACTTCCCTACTGTTCACAATACCTACTTAGTAGGCAAAAACTATAAGGATTTCTACCACTCCACACACCTTATCCTGTTTGAGTCCTCTCCTACCCAAAAGCCTTCCCAAACTGACTTCCTAAAATGAATTAGGCTTCTGGTTTCTCTAATTGCTCTTTCCCTCTCTTTGACTATGAGACTAGCTTAGAGTCAAAGGCCCTTTTCTTCCTTCTACTTGCTTCATACAGAAAGGTATGGAAAAAAAAGTCAAGGAAATCAGAATACTGAAGGGAAGGCTTGGAGGCTGGAAGATGTATCACTGCTCAGACTCAGTCTCAGGGATAAATTAGGGCCCCATCCAATGGGGTTCTGGGATCTAGACACAAGTACAAAACACATTCCCGGAGGCTCTGAAAGAAAAAAGAGCAACACATCCATGAAATGACTGTCTTCAGTTCCCGCTCCTCACATCAACAGGACTTTGAGAGGACTTCCTTTTATCTTGCCTAAAACTCTACTCCTTCAAAGCAGCAGCAGTGACGAGACTATGAACAAGAGGCCAAGCGTGGGTCCTCAGCTCTGAAGCAAGACCATCCTCATAGAATCACTAAGGCAGTACCGCCTGGTCCCTGGAGGGAGGAGGCTGAGATCAGAGGAGTAGTTGGCCAAAACCACCCATCAGGATGGAAGATTACCCTAAGTCAGAAATCTTCTAGCTTGCCTTTTGCCACCTCAGCATTACAGTTCTTGGAAAACAGGCCCTGAAATGGCCCCCGGCAAAGAGTTTACAGGTTACCCTTCAGCTTGCAATGGCTTCCCCTCCATTTTTCATGTGCAGGCCCCGTTTTTTTGTTTTTTTTTTTTTTTCTCTCTCAGATAACATGAAAACATAGCAGAGGATATCCTGCCACAGAGTTTGCTTCCTTTAGTAAAAACAAAAGGAAATGCCCTGCCTCACAAAGCACCTTCTCCTGGAATTGCAGGGAGGCAGGGCCATGCACAGAGGGAGGGCACCAGCCAGGGGGCCCAGATTTTGGGGCCACCCAGGGTCTCTGCCCCAACCACACAGTGGGTCTGGCACAGAATCAGTGCCACATAAAGAAAGAAAGGAAAAGGGGTGGGGGGTATAGAGATGAACAGGGAAGCTGGTAGAACAGCACTGTGATTAAGTGTCATTTTGAATTTTGACTCCTCCACTTACCAGCCATGCAACTGAGGACAAATTACTTAACCTCTCAATGCCTCTGTCTCCTCAAAAATAAAATGAGGACAATAAGGTTTGTTATGAGGATCAAATGAGAAAAATTGAAAGCAGTTAACACAGTGTTTGGTACATAGGAAGTGCTCAGTTGATGTTAGTTTTTATTATTGTAAATCATTATGAGCCAAAGTCAAGGTTCTGATCATTTGTTTAATGAGAAACTAGAATTCATCATAGCCACAGAGCATAGTGAGTCAGCGGGGAGTGGCTTCAGCTCCCAACTCTACCACTTACTCTCTATGTGACCATGGCAGGTTATTTAACCCCTTTGAGCACCAGTTTCTTCAAGCTGTAAAGGAGGGATCATATTGGTATGGTCCAATGGGTGATTATAAAAATTGAATGGAATAATGCATGTGAATTGATGGGCATATGCTTGCTTATAAAAGTCAGTCAGTTATGACTGCTGGTACCTCCACCATGGAAGGGGAACTCAGGGTCTCTCCAAGGTATATGTGGCTGGGAAGCGACTCGGGGTATAGCTCTCAGCCATTTAACCAAGTCCCAGATCTCTGACCCTTGTTTCTAAGGCTTTCAGGAGAGCCCCAGTGCCTCCATGCTCATCTCCTCAGTGCACCAAATCCTCAATACCTCCTGTCTTCACAGACAACCTGTGAGCAACTGCCTCAGCAGATACATAACAGCATAGAGAAGAATCCACATTTTGATCCAAACTCTCTTCTTCCCAATCTTTTTTTTTTTCCCAGAGACAAAGTCTCGCTCTGTCACCTAGGTTAGAGTGCAGTGGTGCAATCTTGGCTCACTGCAATCTCCGCCTCCCAGGTTCAAGTGATTCTCCTGCCTCAGCCTCCCAAGTAGCTGGAATTACAGGTACCTGCCACCACGCCTGGCTAGTTTTTGTATTTTCAGTAGAGATGGGGTTTCACCATGTTGGCCAGGCTAGTTTCAAACTCCTGACCTCAGGTGATCTGCCTGCCTCAGCTTCCCAAAGCACTGGGATTATAGGTGTAAGCCACCATGCCCAGCCCCTTCCCAGTCTTTTTTGTTTTTTCTCCAACATCACCCTTGACCTAACCACAGTTTAAAGTGAAGAGGTTAAAAGTCCCTAAACAATGAAGTTCAGAGAATTTTCAGTTTGGTGAAAGCATCCATATGCTGGGAGGGTGATATAACCCAACCTCATAAGACAGAAGCTTCTGGACTCAGGACCTCCAAACAGTGAACATTATGTCCACACAAACTATACTTTGCTTTATGTACCTCTTAATCCTAACCAGGCAATAAGGATCCAGAGTAAAATATCTTCTAATTATCCAAATTTGGAAACACTTTGTATTTTACAGGAAAAAAAAAAGTTATTAAATAAATACATGATGAAAGGAGCAAAGAGAGCTGGTCCCAATTATAGAATTCTATTACCTCCCCTCTACTCATTTTATACCAAATTACTTTGCATTTACTGTTCGTACCCAAAAGTTATTGAGCTGTTTGAATTCTGAGATGAGATGATGACCTGGGGAGAAGAGGAGTCACTCAAGCTCCCAGCTTTTCCTTCACAAGATTTTGAACAGACATGAGTTAAAGACTTTCTACTCCCAGGGTCCAGGCTCATTCAGGGATATCATGGCCTAGTGGCTAGGAGCATGGGTGCCCAAGCCAGGAAGGCATGAGTTTGAGGACCAGTTGGCCCACCTCCTGGCCATGTGGCCCAGGGCAGGTCACCTGACCTCCCTGGAGCTTTAGTTTCCTCTTCAGTAACCAACTGAATTGTTGTGAGGGTTAAATAAAATAACACTGTAAAACGGTGGGTCCTGAGTGTGCAATACACTGAGCTATTAGTGAGCCTGAGTTTACCTGGACATTCTCTTCGGTCACCTCGATTTCAGCAGTATAGATGTAGTCAATCAGCTTACTCAGTGTCTGCCCATCCACGTCCTTGATTTCTATCTTTTTGGCTTTACTCTCAGACATGTCACCTAGAGTTTACAACAAAAACAAAAAGGTCATATGGGATATGTTTACCTTCCACATGGCCTCCTGCCCTGTCTTGGAAACATAAAAGCACTACCTGGGCTCCAGGAGGCAGCAGAAGGGATTCAGGCGCAGAAGAGGATAAACCAGGTAATATCAAAGTCACATCAACTTTGGATGTGTGATCACCTACAAACCTAGCCTTAAGTATTCCTTACTCTATCTATTGACCACTTCCATTTTGAAGGAAAATCTGTGTGCAATCACTCATTTAACCAACATTTACTGTAAACTTCCATATACAAGGCCAGACAAAGTGAACAAGATATGCACCTGTCCTTAAGGAACACAAGTCTAGGCCTGTCCTTAAGGAACACAAGTAAGGCAGATATATAAAAGTGTTTATAAACAGAGGTGACAACAGGTTAGTAGATAGAGTTATACACAAAGTATTGTGATAACAACAACAATAAGTAACATTTCCTGAGAGCTAACTATGGCCATACACTGTGTTAAGCACTTTAAAGTCTTTTAATCCTCCCAACAACCTATGAGGTTTATTACTATTATCACCATTTTACAGATGAAGAAACTGAGCACAGGAGGGTAGGTAATTCATTTTGCCCACAGTCACACACCTAGGAAAGGCCAAGTTGGGTGGAAACCCAGGGAGTCTGACTCTAGAGTCCATACTTGTAACCACCATGTTATACTAAATCCCAAGAACACAGAGGAGGGAGCAACAAATCTCTCCTGGGAACTCCAGTCAGGCATCCTATTAAGACGTCACATTTGAGTGAGGCATTAGAAGATGAGGAAGAGTTCTACAGGCAGCAAAGGTGAGGAAGGATGAGCTGAATCTGGAATCCATTCGTGCAAAGAGAGGAAAGTACCAAAAGAATAAATTTTGGTAAAATGGCAAGAGGTTGGTGTGGCTGGTACATGGAGTAACAGTAAGAAGAAGGAAGCTGGAGAGGTAAATAGGGCCAGGACCTGACAAGCCCTGTAAGTCACGTAAACAATCTGGGACTTTATCCCAGGTGTAGCACCACTGAGAAGTTTTCAACAGGGAAATGACATCAACAGATGGGCATTTTTGAATGAAATTTTGGATGCAGGGTAGAAGCTAGATTACATGCAGGGAGAACAGCTGGAGGCCCTGATAATAATCCAAGAAAGAAAGAAGGCAGGGCTGTAAATAACGGCAATAGCAGCACCACATTTCCACAGTCCTAAGGCCCCTTGCCTTCAGCCTGCACTCTATATACAACACACGGGTTTATCTAAAGCCAGGCCCATTCAACAAGGGCTGCTGATTTCAGGAAAGACAGGCAACACATGTCTTTGTAGACTGAAATAAAGGGCAACCTGACTGCAAGAAACAAGAGATCCAGAAGCCTTAATGTGAATGTGAATGTGAATGTGAATGTGAAAACAGAGCCTGGGTGGTTGTTTTCTCTCTGTGGAATTCATACACCAGAGCCAAGAAAATAAAGTACAGTACAGCATGTGGGTGCAGACACCCACCTCCAAGCTGCACGGACTGCACATGATTCCTCCACCAATCCAGAGTCCCATCCTGACACAGTTCTAGAGCTGAATGACTCTGGAACGGAGAGGAAAGTAACGGAGGAGACATTCCAAACCCTGCCTGCTCCCTTAACTGCCAGATCAGGTGGACCTGAGACCCTCCACCCTGGTCTCTCTTCTCTGACTGCCAGTGGAAGCCCGTGAAAGGCCTCAGCACAGTGCCCTGGGGCAGAACGAACAGGTAAAGAAAAACAGGGAAAAATAGTATATTCCTCCTCCACCCATAAGACAGGCTCCACAATCTCTCTCTTGAGTTTATTGAGACACACAAACAAAAACATGCATACACAAGGAAATCAGAAGTTAAGCTATTAAAAAGTTCATTGATGAGGGTCCAGTTGGTAATTATACTGCAAAAGATAATCAAAGATAGCCGATTCTTTTTTTAAGGAGTTAGCCCTCAAAAAATAAGACTAAAAAAATAGAGCAGCCGCACTGTAAGAACCAAGGGATTCAGAAGCCCTCACAGCAGTGTAAATCAGAGCCTGGGCTGACTGTTTTCCGCCTGTGGAATTTGTGGTTGAAAGTCAGGTTAGGGTTTTGTAACTTTGGGGTAAATAAATGGAAACTCCTGGAATTGTAAGAAAATATTTTTCTATATGTGCAAAAGTTCACTTTTTCTAGGGGGATGACAGGTCATTTTTATCAGATTCTTACAGGTGTCTATGATTCAGAAAAGTTTAAGACACAGTTTTCTAGACAGTAGGTCTTTAGGAGACTTTTCCTTGCTCCTTTACGTGACTCTCAAATTTCTAATTTTCTATATAAAGTACTTAAAACTTAAACAAGCAAGAAAAAAACGATGTGAAAGAAAAACTAAGGGCTCAAACACACCACTTATTTTCTGAGAAAGCTTGTAGAATCAAATCTTATTATCTTTTATGAACCAGCAAAAATGACTACACCAAACTAAGACTTTAGTTTAAATGGGCCCTAAAAATACTCATAGTAATAGTCACTACTGAATACCTGACCTTCTGCTAAGGTACACTAATGTGCATCTGACCCACATTATTTCATTTAACCCTTGAAACAAGTCCAGGAGGTAGACAGTATTACTTCCATTTTACAAATTATAAAACTGGCATTTCTTTTTTTTTTCGAGATGGAATTTTGCTCTTGTTGCCCAGGCTGGAGTGCAATGGCACAATCTCAGCTCACCGCAACCTCTGCCTCCCGGGTTCAAGTGATTCTCCAGCCTCAGCCTCCCAAGTAGCTGGGATTACAGGCATGCACCACCACACCTGGCTAATTTGTTTTTTTTTTTTTTTTTTAAGTAGAGACGGAGTTTCTCCATGTTGGTCAGGCTGGTCTCGAACTCCCAACCTCAGATGATCCACCTGCCTCAGACTCCCAAAGTGCTGGGATTACAGGCGTGAGCCACCACATCTGGCCAAAAATGGCATTTCAAAAGGGATTTACACATAGATACTAAGAGGCAGGACTGAGATTTGAACTTTGGCCTAACTCTAGACCCTGTGTCATTTCTAATACATCCCTCAATAAAATTTCACCCTAACTAATAACCTTAATAAAAGTATTCCCAAACTCAAGGCCTTGATCTTAATTCTGAGGACAAGTTAGTACTTAATATCTAGCAAGAACCAAGCGGCTTATCCTCAACACATAACAAAGTGCTTGGCATAAAAGAAGCACTTAAAAAGTAGTTATTGGAATAGAAAAAAAAAAAAAAAAAAGAAGGGAGGCTCTCTTGACATATCATAATTCCATGGGCTTCAGTAATTCTGGAGGGGGAAAACCATTAAGGACTTGGTCATTCTTGCTCCTTCACTCATCCCTAATAGTTTGACAAAGTATTTCCAGAAAACAGAAGATGAGCCCTGTAAGTCCTTCCATGTTTGTGGTCAGTCCAAGTGCTCTCTTCTGCTAGCTCTTCCCAAGAGGCCCAGACAGCCACCTCAGACTCTGAACTTACAGAGAATGTCTGTCAGCTACACATCTTTTTACCCTTTCCATCTTCTGCTCACCATCTGCCAACATACATGTCCTGTTTCTCCAAAGACAACATGATTCTCTCAGGGGCAGATATTTGTTCATTTATTCAATTCAGCAAACATGTATCAGATGTGTCCTCATGTGTCAAGCACTGTGCTAGGCCCAGATAATACAGTGGTTAACAAGTCACAGCCCTGCCCTCATGGAGCTCAGTCTGGTGGAGAGAGAGACAAGAAAACCAACAAATGCAAAAGATGTCAAATGTTAGAAATGGGGACTTAGCTTTAAAGGTCCTTAAGCCAGGGATTCCTGCACCCTAAAGCTGCATGCAAAATGATGAGCACACAAGAGCACAGGTTTGCTCTTCCAGAGATAAAGTCCATTGTTTTCATCAGATTGATGCATAATGGTTAAGAGCCACTGATCTGGAGGAGTCATAGTTATTCAGAAGAGAAGTGAGAATGAGAGAAGAGTATCCCAGACATAAACTTTGTATAGTATATACAAAGGTCTGGAGGTAACAAAGGGTGTGATCTCTCTGGGAACCATAACAAGTTCAGTCTGGCTGGAGCACGTTAGGGAAGAATGATGAGACAGGGCTGTAGATGAAAGCAGGAGCTGGACCATTTGAGGGACTTACAGGCCATGCTAAGGAATTTAGACCCTTCCTAAGGGCAACAGGGAGCCCCTGATAGATTTTAAGCAGGTAAGGGATACATCAGATTTTAATATTGGGAAAATCACTGTAGCCACAGTGTGGAGAATGGGTGGGGAATGGGAAAACAAAACAGGTGGCAGACTGGCCAATTAGAAGACTGCTGCAGAATATCAGGTAAAATATGATGTTGGCCTGACTGTGTCTTGAACTTCTTTAAATACTTAGACCGTTACGGCCTTGCACTTAGCAGCCTCTGAGAACCACAGAGGGCCCAGAAGAGCAAGCAATCCCAGAAGCCTATTAGGTAAAAGCATCTAAGTCTTCATTCTAGATCCTAACAAGCACACTATGTGCACAGCTGAGATATTTTTAGGTGGAAGACTGCCAAAGAAGAGCAAGAGGGAGAAGGATGGACTGGAGGAGTGAAAGGAAAATCTTTCATTATCACAGAAGACTCAAGATGTCTAGAAAAATCACTAGCTCATCTTCCAGGTCATTGGTATAAAAGCAACCCTATTATTAAGTAAATAAAATCTTGAGAATGAAAATGTAATAGATTGGTTGGCAGGTCTCTCTGAAGAACACCACAGCTAAACCACCGACCACCTCTACATAGTTATATGTCCTTAAAAACAAGAAAAGGGGGTATTCAAGAGTCCTTATGCCACAGAATACCTTCTTGCTCCTAACTTGAATTAGTATTGTAATTTAGTCTCATGTTCTGGGTAGAGAGAAAACAGGAAAATCCTTATCCTTTGCACAATGATTCTTCATGGGCACTAAGATGGTTATTGAATTTCT